GACATTATTGAACCTCCTCACATAATTAAAAATATTAAAATTATGAAAAAAAAAAAACAAACAAAATTTAGTCTTCATAATAACTACAAGTTGTACATAATATACATTTTTTTTTATACATGTATTACTAATTTGTAAACTACTATTTGTATAATTTTTTTTTTTTAAGTTTAGTTGTTAATAAACGGAAAGATGCTAAGAAATGGGAAAATGCAAATTATGCTGAAGTTAAAAATAATTTAATATTGAACAGTTGAACGTAAAAGATGTATTTGTTTAGGTACTGTTAAATTATATTTTACTGTATGTATTATATTTGAATGAGTACTAGTGCAATAACTACAAACTAAGCTATGTTGTGTTGCTGTTTTTACAGTCTATATATTGGTGCATATATTTAGGTAAGCAGTAACTTTTCAAAAAAGATAGTTCGAATGGGTACGCGCGGATATTACAAATAATACCGCGACGTTTACTGTGTGAATTTTATATTGACGGGATACATCACAGTCGAACGTTCATGAAATAATAATCGGCGCTCCCGAGACGCGCTGAATGAGCAGTGCCAGTAGTGCCGCCGACTGCGAGTAGTAGGCGGGGCTTAGACGTCGCGCGCTTGCGGATCCCGAAAACACCTAATAGCGCGTTCTCTCGGCCGTTGCATACGTAACACTTTGGGTATCACGTCCTCTTAATATATTATATAAAATACCTGTAGGTAGCCCAATAGTGCGTTATTATAGTACCTATATTATATATTATAAATTATTATACCATCTGTAGGTAAGTCGTAAGTATAAGTACGTAACAGACAGTGTTGTGATTTGTGAAGTATTTGAGTAAAAGTATTCAAATACTTTTTTCGGTATTGAATACTTTTTAAATACTTTTTATTTTGAAGTATTTGAATGGTATTTTAAATACTTTTTTTTTCTATTGAATACTTTTTTAAATTTTTTTTTATTCTTAATTTGTTTCTACTTATAATTGTTCTTGTTAAATAAAAATACCATGCCGTCGTGGTTTTATGTATATTTAAAAAGCTTTTACTTAACGGCTATTATAGTTAATAGTTTATGATTATTTAACTATACTAAAATATTGTTAATAATTGTCAGTACCTACTGGCAACTACCTATTTACCAATAAAATTGTTATCAATAATTATCATTATCGTTTATCGTCGACGACGATCCATGACGGTATGAGATATCGAAATACTGAAATACATAATATAGCTTTAAGTTAATAAATAATAACTCTGTAGAGAAAATTTTATTGTTGTGGTGCAACTAACACGACTAAGCAGAATTTTGATTATTGAACGAATCATGTTTTTAAAATGCAATAAACAAATTTTTTGATTATAACAAATTATTTCAGAACTAAAAAGAAAAAATATTTATTTTTTTGTATTTGATGATTATTTGGGTGGTATTTTAAATACTTTATTTTAAGTGTATTTGAGTAATTACTTAAATAATTTAAAAAAGTATTTTTTACAACACCGGTAACAGGTACTTATTAATTATTATACTCAATTACTCTATAGGTAATTTAAATAAAGTTACAGTGTTGACATTCAAATTTCGAAAACCCAAAGATATAGGTTTTTAAATTTCAGTAATTTTACATGTACTCATTGTACGTAGGTACAAGGCCTGTATCATACTATCGTGACAAAATAGCATTAGCCCAACTGCAATTGCCCGCCAATCACCGTAGTTTCCCTATGTTTTACACTGTGTTTAGACAATTTTGTAGCCAATGTTTGTGCTAGTTTTGTGTTAGTTTTTCCCAACTATTAAGAAAATAACTTTTAATGTCACCCTTCAAAGGTAGGTAACAATACTAGATCCAATTCGGAGAATTTGCAAATCAGAAATCATCTCCAATGTTGAAAAAAAAAGCATTTTTTCTTCCATAAAACGCCTTGTACCACCTATTCACGGTACACAAAAAGACACATAATATTGTAAAATCTCAATAACCATTAATCGCTAAGATCAGAATCTAGAAGACTTATTCACGTACAAAAGTATAAAACGAGTACAACAGTACAATATAATGCAGATCGATAAATATATCATGGTTAAAATATTGTAATACAATAGTATACCACTGCGTTATAACGTAAGTACAGTATTGGTATATCAATAACAATAAAAATAATGGTGTTTTGGAAAAAGAAAAGGCCCGAAATCCAGCCGATTATGATGCAGATCGATTAATAATAATATGATTATGGTTTACTTGCTGGCCACTAATAAAAGATGTTTGTTTTAAATTATCGGCGACGGCCTGCTATGACGAAATTCGGAATCGGCTCATTTGCAATTTATTCTGTCTACCTGCACGCGAACAATTTCCCAGTGAAAATAGCTGAATCACAAAATAACGAAACGACCCACGAAATCGAAACCATCATCACTAAAGACGTCTTAGATAAAATCATGAAAAACATCGATTACGAACTATGATGGAAGAAAAACTAAGACGGATCGACGACGTTGATATGATAGGAACCGACTATCGGGGAACTAGCGGGCCTTTTGTTTTATGCGATACAGTTTGCGAGAGGCGACTTGTCGAAAATTCTTCTACTGGACCAGTTTAATGGATCGAAGACGACGTATGGTCCCTGTGCCGTAACTCCGGCCAGGGGAGCTGAGGTCAAGAACAGCTCTGGAGACTTGATCGGCTGGCTGAACACGGGTGGCAACGCTGGCGAGGATCGCGTCCACTGAGTGGAGAGGTATCACGAAGGCCGTACGCGTTTTCTGCTGTTGTTCCCCGAAGTGAAATCGTCCGAGGGTTTCCCCCCGGCCGAGAGAAGCAGACAAGGTGAGGTGCGATGACGTGGAGTCGAGGTCTAAGTACGTGACAGTGGGCTTTTGGGGTGATTTGCGTTAAGTCTACGATCTTCGACGTGAGACCCTCCGGCTGCTTCGGTCCGACGGTATACCTGCAGTGACGACTGTGGCAGTGCTGCACGAAGATGACTCGTGATGGAGGTGTGCGAAGTGACGGATGACTATAAATACAGGGTGGCCAGGAACGCGGACGTCACCAGCGCCGGGTTCGAGGAAACGAAACGTTTCAGAGGTCGACGGTGCCCACGGCCTGGCAATCGGCTAAGGCTAAGGCGAAAACCACTGAGAGTATCAGGACAGCGGCCAGTTGGGATGCTGTCCGCCGATTCTCTCCCTTTCCACACCCAGCCGTCTGATCCCGCCAGCCTATATTATATAATATAGTCTTCGTCGCTAGCTCCGACCTTTGGCCACCGTCGTCGCCGGCAAAATAGCAGTCTTCAGCGCCTGCAGTACCGTCGACATCTGCACTCACCTTGTCCACGGCCAGGGGGAAAACTCTCGGACGGTTTCACTTCGGGGGACAACAGCAGAAAACGCGTACGGCCTTCGTGATCCCTATCTCCACCCAGCCGTCTGATCCCGCCGGCCGATATTATATAGTCTTCATCGCTCGCTCCGAGCTTTGGTCACCGTCGTCGCCAGCAAAATAGCAGTCTTTAGCGCCTGCAGTACCGCCGACATCTTTACTCACCTTGTCCACGGCCAGGGGGAAAACTCTCGGACGGTTTCACTTTGGGGGACAACAGCAGAAAACGCGTAAGGCCTTCGTGATACCTATCTCCACGCAGCGGTCGTGGCCGGGCTTTCGAGAAGTACGGTGTAGAAATTCAGCCAAAAAAAATCTGTAGGTATACAGCTAAAATCTAATCAAATTATTTTGAAAATGTTATCGATTACAGAAACTGATAGAATAAATAGCTGGTGTACGTTTTAAGTATACTTGCGGTTGTTCATTTTTGGACAACAATTAAGAGTTCCAAGAGAAATCGAGTACAACTGGTACAATTCGTAAAAATTTGAACTTCAAACGCTCACATAGTCATATAATTAATTAATTTGACTTTCCAGTAGGCATTTTTTTTCGGTTACCTAAACGTAAACCTTCTAAGGAATCTTGAATTCAATTTTAAAATCTTGGATTTAAAAAGGCAATTTTTAGGAATTTCCAACTTAAAATAATTTGCAAAATTTCTTGATTTTGACTCATAAAAAATTATTGTGAGTTTATACTAAAATTTAAAGACGTACAAAAAAACGTTACTTATTGTGAAATGCGTTAAGCTTGGTTATAATGTAGTTTTTGTTACGCTTGTCATTGTTCTATAATAATACATTGTTATCCGACAATCGACATATTATATATATTTTTACTACAGACATAATTCTCTTAAAATATTTTAAATCTTTTTGAGTCATTTACAGTCGATTGAAATTTTAAATTTCTTTTCTATGAATATCGACAAAAAAATGTTCACTAAAAGCTTGTCAATTTAATACAACGTTTCTCGTAAGTTATTACCTATAACAGTAGTTCAATAATATTAAAGTACTACACAAGTACAATTTTTGTTTGAAAGTTCAAATGTTGACAAAATGCTATAAAATCACGAAAAATGTTATAGGTTGAAAAATTATAAAATTATCAGTTTATATAGATAGCTATAATGATTGAATATTTTAAACAAGGTTTCTCATAAATGGTTCCAGTGGCCATTATTTCGACTACTTATCGTGTACTCAGACGTCAGACACAAATAAAAAAAAAATAAAAAAACACATAACATTATTGTAAAATCGATACATTCATCGTTCGTGAGAATCTAAAATCGAATTGGCCTACCTATATTATAATCAATATAAAATATAAAAAACATGCCCACTCGGGCGGCGATTAATCGAAGTTATAATTGTTATACTAGCCGATACTTCACTACCGTTCAGTGAGTCAAAGCCAAGTAGATTTTGTAACGATATATGGATAAATCATCCACACGTAATATATTTTTTTTACCCACCATTTCAATTTAGAAACGCCTTCGCCCGGAAAAAATTGTCCGGAATAAGCTCTCGACACATGGTTCGACTTGAAGGGGTGAACACGCGCGGCGACCATAATATATTATAATGATAATACAATATTACACTCGCGCGTGTTGTAACGGTCGAGATGCGTTCCGGACGATCGTGCCGCGGCGACGCGCTCCGGTCCGTATCGATTTGTGCGGTTCGGAAGCCTCGCGGGGGTGGCGCACAGCTGACTGGTATGCGTGCCGCCGCGAGATAACGCGCGTCGCCGTCGTCGTCCTCGCCGTCAGCCGCGAGCGCCGCTCCGCACTCTGCTTGGCGTCCGACGCTGCGCCGCACACCGCCTCGAGTCGTAGTCGCTGTCGCTGTCGCTGTTTTTCCTGTCGTCGTCGTCTCGCGGGGCCCGTGGAAATGACGGCTTCACCGCCGCCGAAGCAGCAGCGGGCCGTCACCGTCGCCACCGCAACTGCGGCTTTCCGACTGTCGCTGGTCGTGTTGCTGCTGCTTGACGTCGGCACCGCGTCCGCGTCCATATGCAAATCCGGACTGTGCACCCGCGAACAGTACTGCTGCGGCGACGGCAAGTGCTGCGACAACGTGTACAGCCTCTGGTACTTGTGGTGAGTGACTACGCGTAGCACGCGTCAGCTACGTTTTTTCGACGTCCCCAAACGTTTTATAATTAGTACCTTTTTTTTCCCGGATATAATCACTACACGGAAGCCGGAACTGTTTTCACATTGCTTAGCTCCCATGTATAGCGTAGTTTGTTTAATAAAATGTACACAACTTTGTTTTGGGCTCACGTGAGTCGCGTTGTATATAGTACATTAGTACCATCGACCCATGATGCCTCACAATATTTACAATCGGTCATAGTCGTGTCGAAACCACTCCGAACTCCCGAAGTTAACACGTATCCGGTATCTCTATTTGCATACGTGCCGAGTCTTCTTCTCGGACCGGACGTTAGCCAGCCATTCTGGAATACTCGTGCTGAAACCCTCCTCTTCACGAGCTCACGTTTCCCGAACTGAGGCTCACACATTATGTCGGGCTCTCTCCTTATTAATCAGTACCTATATACCTCTATATTTCACCCCATCAACCCGCGGGTTTCGAGTGTGAAATTTTGTTTTTTTTCGGATTTTTATTTCCTACATTTTTCTGAGTGTACCCAGGCAGTATATGTTTGGTCGATATTGTACAGCCGTAGACTGCATCGATTGACTGATACGATTTTCTATAATTAATATTATAATATTTTATTACTATTATTGTTTTCCTCTGCAGCGGAGGCGTAGCTGTTATGCTCTTCGTCGTCGGTTCATTCTGTCCGGTCATCAGACAGTGCTGTTGTTTCCGGACCCCGGTGATCGTCAAGTATGTCCCGGTGCCCACGTCACCGACTAAATTCGTAAGTATTATACATGACGTGTAAATGGCGTGTAATACGATGGTAGCTGGCGGTGTCATTATTACTCGTGTGCAAGATAAACATTAACATATTAAGCAGTTGTGTGTCACTGCGCAAACAATTAAAAAATATTTTCACTTTTCTGTGAACCTAATATTATATAACACGAGAGTAGGTATAACATATAAGTATATAACGTAATCACCAGTGGCGGTGGTACGTGGTTGCTGTGCGACTTTAATATAGGCATGATATCGTATCCATAGGTATATTAAATTAAATAATATATAATAAAATAATAACTATGTAATATTATTACTATTAATCTTTAAATTATATTTGTCCAAAGTATCGCAGACCTGCACGATGGAAAAGAAATCCATAATGTGTTTGCAATGTTGCATGTATATTCATAATATATGCTCCTGGTATCCGAGAGAAATAATTCAATGTTCTCACACGACAAAATGTATCATAAATATTATTTAAAAATGTAATAAAAGTTAGTTTTCTTAAATTAAAGTAGGGGTTCGAAAATTGCGTCATCCAAGCCACGAGCCACCACCACTGGTAATCATGTATCTATTAAAATTGTAATTTGTATGAATGTTGCTACAAATTTTAAAAATATGTTATATTTACTCATGGTCCTGTCTGCATACTAGACTTTTGAGAGATCCTATAGCCTTCACTATAGAAAAAATTATCAACCCCACCCCCTCCCAACAAGGAAAAATCCTCTCTACGCCACTGATGTAAGGTACGGATAGTGACAAATTATCGCGTTTTCCCCCATGATACCTATACATAGTAGAATCGATTTTCAATCAAATAGTTTATGTCCATGTCTCTCTTCAAACTCTCCTACTATTTCTCAAGAAATTAAATTGAGTTATTGTTTTGACCAGAACAATCAACTTTGTGCAATCAAATTCGCCAGGTCATGACACAAACATCAAATTTCATTTCTATGCCATATTAGGTTTATGTTTGGTTTATGGAAACTGCAGTTTCCTTATAGATAACGTGTCCCACTCTCTCACCGTGTACTTTGTCCTCGTAGGTACCTACCTGCATATTTAATTAGGAAATTGAGTACTCTTCTATTAGTTACATCCGCTTTATGCCTAAATGTTACAGCTTTATCGAAATGAATACAATAAAACATGTATATCAGTCGGTCTTCTGAAACTGGCTATTTCAGATTTTATGAGAAATCTTTTTTTATACTTTGACTTTGAGCTAAATCTATATGATTTAAGTGCCAACGATAAAATAAACAAATATTATTTACGCCAATATATTGATATTTGTATTACTAAGTGCCAAGATGAACATAATATTTTTATAATTTTACAAGTAGGCACCTACCTGCAATAAATCGTCAATAATCAGTATCTAGGCAGTAGGCATTATGAAGTATAATGTGTTGATTGAGATTGCATACTTTGGGGCTTTTCAACGACATAGGTACAGTTAGGTTTATAGGAGGTACCTACCTAGTACACTCGCACGGAGTCTCCGCAGTAAGCCATGTGAAAACAGTCGATCTCTTGGTTAAGCGATATTTTCTTAGGTAAAAAATATTCACTTGGCACCTGGGATTTTGAAGCATTTCAATTCCTTTTTAACTGATTTTGGCGTTTGTGTGACCGACGATCGCCGAAAGTCAACTCAAACCGGTCCCGACTGACAGGCCCATATATTATATATGAAAAGCGAGTTCTGCACGACCCGAACTGCTGAGAATATTGTGATGATGACTACCGCCAGTTACCCCTGTTTCAGGGTACCTGAAGGGTTGAATAGCATATCTGCACGGTGGTGTAGATCCCAATTTCAATGTCACACGAAACCCGACGAAATTAATAATATTCGTAAACATTTTTTTTTTATTGTTCAAGAAATATTCTGATCGTGAAAAGTGCACCAGAGTGGACGTGACGCTGCCCATGCCGCCTCGAGCCACCACGTTGGACTTCACGAACTGCATATAATGCACAACACCACCAAACACAGTACCTACCCACACATCGACGACATTGTAATATAATACTATTGTTATTCACATTAACCGCGGTGTGCATGACTTATGGTCATGTGGGTCGTGGTTTTTTTTTACCCCGTGACAACCACCTGCAGCACCATCACAGGCAGGACAAAACATTTTAGGCCGTTACCGCGGGATCGAACTTTGACAATATAATATAATTATCAATAATAGTATATTACCCTCCTGTATTATGTAATATATGTAGTAATATGTGAATATAGCGTAGAATTTAGAACGTGTCTATACTGTCGGAGGAGTAATGAATGAAAAAAAGTGTCCATATTTTGTCTCACTGTTCTGAATGAAACTCATGGCCGACGCAGATCATTGCGTCGTAGACCTAAAAACTACATCTATAAATACCTACCATAAATCCTATATTTATGGACCTACCCTAAAATTAGGTGACTATACTTAAATCGGTCAATACATCTCTGTACGTATATAGATACATATAATATGAATTATTATGACACCGTCGTGTCTTACAATGGCATTTTCAAAATGCTGCAGTCGACTTGTTTTCTTATCGTTTATATTTATTTATTATAATAATAATAATGGTCTTTGAACTTTTAACTTTGAACAGTATACTGAGTAGGTAGTGCATTAACATGTCGATGGTTGTCCTCTGCTGCTGTCCCCAATCGCTTTGTGTGACATGATATGGGTAATATACTTATCATTTTTACTGCGTTTAACTGTTTAAGTGGGTAGGTAAAACAGGAAACTGCTATAACTACATTGATTCAATAATTGAAACCAAGCAATATTGTTCTTCTTCGGGATGAGAAATAAACAAGTACCCTTTTCAAATCATTTGTACAGTAAAAAAATAAAATAATAGTAAACGTTGTACTAAAACAGTCGAAATACTGTGTTAATATTATGTAGTTACAATCCGAGAGCAGGCGTCAAAAATAGTCGCAGTAGGTGTATAATTGAAGGGTTGAGTGAAAATAATGTTGTTATGACATGACGTTTTCCACACTATTTTTCCAAACTTTTCACACCTCATTGTCACGTGGCGACACGCATCACGCCTAATGATATCGCCTTTATCAACGAATATGTATCTCTAAAAATTATTATTCAAACGACTTAATATGCTGTATTAGGTATGTCTACTGTGACACGCACCGACAATGCCACCCCATACAACTGTATAGAAACAATAACCCTTCACTTTTACGTTTTTTTCAATTCAATTACCACAATATATTGTATACGAGCTGCAGCATATCATATTATAGTGTGCGCTCGTGACAGGATATATACAGGGTGTTGCACGATAAATGTGTCAAACTTCTAGAGGTGTTTCTGCACCTCGAACGGAACGACTAAAGTCTCCTTATGACCACATTCGAATGATCAATAATAAGGGTGATGATTTCCACGTTTGTGTTTTTTTTTTGGGGTCAAACGCGAGTTTGATTCATATAATATAACGTTCATATCTGCTAAACCGTAGGCGCTACAATCGATTTGAATACATTGATGAAAAGCTCATAAAATTGGAATCGGGAAGACATATCTTACGAGGTTCCCACCTGATTTTTTGGGTAAAAAGAATAACACAAATTTTTTACAACTTTAAAATGTCGACATTTTCAAAAATCTCAGTTTTATCTAACAACAATTATTTTTTTTGAGGCAGGGGTCATGAGGACTTTTTTTGTTCCATTTGAGGTGTAGAAACACCTCTAGAAATTTGACACATGTGTCTCGTGCAACACCCTGTATATTGTCACATGATATTGTGCGAACGAAATATGGATCGCACCATTTTAATAATAAATAATAGGTACTATATTAGGTATATCTCCATCCAACTGCATAACTACGACCCTATACGTATAGTAACTTACACACACACACACACACACACACACACACACACACACACACACACACACACAACGTCTTGTAAGTCGCATTATATAATATTATACTATATGTTTATAGGTACAGAGTGATTCACCGAGCATCATCTTCGCCATATTTTTTTAACTCACGATGATAATTTATTCAAATTCTGATTTTTAGTATATATAGATACCTACACCTACTTGAGGACCCGACATATTTTCAATTGTATAGACTTTTATCCTACAAGTATTTTTATCCCATTTGAGAGCGTTTTCCAACATATTGTTTTCAAAGTTCAAACGAGAATCACCCTTTTTCCTGGGAAATGTTAAGCACTCTTTTGAAAACGCCGATGTAGGTATCCAAATCAATATTCGACCCGGTTTGGTTTTAGTCATTTAACTTTGTGCATCTACTCATGATATTAATAAGATGTGAGGGTTTTTGGAAGTTTTTTTTATTTGAAAAATAGGAAGATTGCATGTTTGTACTCATTGTTTATCAAAATCTAAATAATTGAAAATAATATACGCTTCTTAAATAAACTTAAAAATTCCAAAAACCAAAAAAAACCCAAAATTTGAATGCATTTATTAGGTATTAAAGAACAAAATGGAGATGATCATGTTCGGTGAATCACTTTGTGTACATTAATATAATATTATTATTACTGTTGGACGTTTGGCATAGGCAGGTATATTCTATAGTCACCTATTATCCGGAAATATTATCGTAGATACCGTTTTAGTGTAGGTTATACTTATCCATATTATAAAATTACGACATTCGATACGACAGCAGGCGGCAATATATCGATTGTTAACATATTATAATAATATTATATGTAGTGGGTCAGTCACGAACATTTAAAAATAGGTATTGTACCTAAATTAAATAATATTGCATAACAATGCGATATCTACTTACGATGCGTTTCGTTCGATTTCCTAATACCTATTTAGATATTTTCAAAGGGGGGCCTTTGCTGAAACTAGGGTCAATATTCTGAGGGGGGGGGGTCTATGTATAGTTCAAACAAACAATTAATAATGCATGCAGTTCGATAATAATCTGTATATTTTACAACATTGATTCACACCAAGCCTTTAAAAATGCAAAAGAAAAGTTTGAGGGGGCGAACGATTTCCGGTCTTAGATCTTTGATAATATTTATTTGCATATTATATTGTAATATGAACTTAAATTCTTGAATTTTCCTAGGTATAACCAAAAACGTTTACAAGTGCGTTTACATCACCAACAGTTTGTCAATTTTCGGTGTGTTTTTTTTTTTTTTTGTAAACAACTATAATAATTATTAACGATTTAGTGTTGACATTTGTATCAATCAATTTTTTTTACAATATGGCCTTCTCTGTGAAAATAATACGATTTTTTTGTAATGGAATTTATATATATTATACAATCATTTTAACATAGTTAGCGGGATAGACTACTAGGGGAGTAATAGAGAGGTCTCTATACCACATGGCCACATAATTGAGCATTTAAATGCCATGGTTATTTTTCTCAAATTCTTTGTGTCAAAATACCAATGTCATTCAACCACATATATTATGCTTTCGTGTTTGAGTTTGACATGTTAAGAATAAAGTAGGAATTTACTTATATCATTTAAGGGTTATGTTAAATTACATAAATAAGTATAAGAAAAGTATCAGTATTAAAAGTTAAAAACATTATATGGCTGAATTAATTCGTGAAAGATATATTTTTTAATGTAATTGTAAGACTTAAAATTAATGGTTTATATAAATCATATAATATAATAACTGTTACCTATGTATACTAGTTTAAGAGTGCAAATAAACATTTTATTTGCCGAAAATAAAATGTTGTTGACTATTATGTATTCTGTTTGTCAGTATTTAATAAAAAATTATTACTCATGTGAATGTGTAATTTATTGTGTTATTTTCCTATCCTTATTGTTATACAGACAATTGTGAAACATTACACAATTCGGTTCAGTTAATTTAATAATAAATATAAAATATTTGAATTAAGATATTTTTACTAAAATCTTTTGTTGTCATTAAATATAATATACTTCAGTACTTGATTTTTATAATATTTATTTTTGAACAATATTGACAATACTGTTCTCTAATTCTGAAATTATCATTATTTTAAGATTATAGGAAATAAATAACAGCTTTATAAATTCAAACATTAATTAATTAATCTTTTATTTTTAATGAGATCTTAACAATAATTATGATATCTGCACCAATTTTTAAGTGTTTATACTTTAAACAGAATTAATTAATTACAAGGAAGAAGCATATTTTGCAAACTCTGTAGAATATTAAAGTTAATAATATTTTACATACTGTATAATGAATGAAATGTAAAATATATTTATTAAAAGTGTATTATATTATTATAAATTGTACAGATACAGAAATAAGAAAGATTGATTTTAAAGGAAGTTAATGTATTGTATAATATTGTTCTGATTAATGAAATAGAATGTATACAGTCATATGAACAACGAATAAGAACCTTTATCAGAGAAGACGCCTCTGCAGTGGCGGAGGGTTCATTCAGGCTGTGGTAGAGCTTTAAGTGTGAACCAAAACACTGATTCTTAGCTTTTTAAATAACAGATAGAGCCTAATATATTCATTGTTATTTGTTATACTTAATAAAAATATATTGTGGCTTGTTGGGGCTGCTCCAAGTCACTCAATGCGACTGAGAGTAAGTAACGCCTGCATCTACCTTGCCACACACACGACGTATTGCTTACCTACCGTAACAACACCTTAACCATACCTACCTTTCCAACCACAGTAATAACACCTACAACAACTAATAGCCAGTCGCTGGGCTTAAGTTCAATTAAAAAAAAAATATATATATATTAAAAATTGCTTTTTTTTATTTATGTAATTTTAAGCAAATGTGTAAGTAAACAATTAATCAAATTTCATTAAATATAATTTTTAATAATACATAAATATTATACAGTCTAATTTTATTGTAATAGTAATAAGTAATATCTAGGGCACACAATTAGTATGAGGACCTTAAGGCAAATATTCTATTGAATTTAAAATTAATTTGCTTTGTTTCTAAACAAGAAGCGGATAGTTGTTGATACTCCAAATAAGTTCATGGCCTAAAACAAAATTAAAACATTAGAATTAAATAACTATAATTTAAAATAGTGATAATTGATTAGTATTTGGAACTGAATTGTATATAAAAATAAATAGATAAAGATTTTGTGTAGCTGATATACCATACATATAATTTCAGTCACATGAGACTGATTCTTGGAAATATTTACCAATATATCATATGCATTAACCCCACATAAATATTCTTTTAAAATAATAGCAAGCTAAATAATATTATTTTTCAATTGGATCATGAAACAATAGCAGACTCGGAATAGGAAATAAATAAAGGTATTAAGAAACATTTTCAACTGATATTGTAACAATACATCATGGAGCCTTGTATTACATTTTCACAATTATTTTTTGACCCAACAAATAAAATTTTATTGCCATAAATTGATGAAAATTGAAAATGAAAAACCTCAAAACAAACAAAATATTTTGAAAATGTTATGGTATATAGAAAATGAGAATATATAAATTCAGTGAAAATTATGGTCGTTTGTTTTAGAGTTATACTAAAACCAAAATCAATTTTGTAGAAAACCAATTTTGCATAAAAATTCCAGTTTTTCTTTACATTTATATTTGTTTCTCTCGGCGCTTGAAAACTACCTTAAAAACTACTGAGAATTTTAAATTTTGACCCCGCGAATGGATCAATTAGATTCATTTTCCCGTTGAACAACTATTGAAATTGAAAATCGAAGTATTATTTTGATTACAAGATAATGTGTACATACACAAAAAAAACATACTATAAAATCAATATTCATCGCTCAGAATTTAAAAAAAAAGACCAAAAGGTAGACCATATACGAGACAAAAATACGCTGTAGAGAAAGATATCAAAATGTTGGAAAGAAATGTGTGTGTTGACCTGTCATTTAATAGGGGAAAATGGAGAAAATTGCTTATGGCAGCTCAGGTTGTAGAGGGACAGCCAAGCTAAGAGAAATTTTTTGAAATCTTTTTATTTTTGTTGAATTAAGTTAATGCTTCAGTCCTTAAAGAAAAATTTTAAATTCAATAAGTATGAACTTTTGTTCAAAAAGTTATTATTTTTAAAATAAATGAGACTTCAAAAAAAAATTAGACTTAAAAAAATCATAAAATATAAACCACTTGACTTCGATTTAATATTTTTATAAACAAGTTTTCTAAAAACCAGATTTACAAATTGGCTAAAAATAATTAAATTATTTTTTATTTTTAGTAGATACAAAATGTGATATCATACATGTAGAGCACGAGTCGATAATTTACATATAAAAAAAAATTAAATAATATTGATTAGAACAAAAGTTATTTAATTTGTCAGGTCTTCCTGTTACACTCTGTATATTATTATTATACCTACTTCTAAAACATCTGTGTTGAAAGGTGACGAATGATGTTCCCATTTCATAAGTTCATTAACTCTTAGCGGTGCTTCAGATTTTTTGTCATCACATTCGAATGCACTAGTATCACTAAGAACTACACCTTTTCCACCACAATTACATTCCAATAAATCATGAGTTGAGCACAAAGCATCTTTTTTAAAATTAAATAAGTCCTAAAACATGAAATGTTAATATTTAAAATTGTAAAATGTTGAAATAGTTCAAGCATACTTTGAGTTGATCAAATGACAGCTTTGTATTATTTTGATTATCAGGATTTGTAATGGCTTCACTCAGGCCAGTCTTACTAATCTGCCTTTGAAATATCTTTTCTTCTATTGTACCACTTGTTAGTAACCTATAAATGTGAACATTTTTTTTCTGACCGTCCCTCCAAATTCTAGCCATAGCTTGTTGATCAGAAGCTGGATTCCAATCAGAGTCATATAAAATTAAATTTGATGCGCCCACAAGATTCAAACCAACACCACCTGCTTTTGCACTTAATAAAAGAACACCTAAAAATAAATCCAATAGTTATTACAAAATTAATTTACAGTGATTCCCTGATTGTAAAAACTATTAAGTACTGTAATTAGAGTTTGAATCATTAAATTTTTTAACTATATCAGTTCGCTGAGCAGTAGCAGTAGATCCATCAAGTCTCAAATATTTGTAATGTTTCATATCACATAACTTTACAAATATATCTAAAGTCTGAGTATAATATGATATCAAAACGGTTTTTTGGAAACCATTTTTATGCAATTCTTTTAATAAGTTGTCAACAACTATAAGCTTTCCTGAACTTTCTATTAATGAGTGTTTTAAAGGAATAGTGCGATTCAAATGTTGATTTAAGGTCTCCTAAAAAAATATTAGTTTTACATTTCTAATGATTTCAAATTTATATAATAGGTACAATATACATAATATAAACACTAAATTCTTTATACTTCAGTAGTATCGGAGTTATTTTGGTTGTTCAGTATTAATTCTGGATGGTTGCAAACTTTTTTCAACATAGTAATGACACTAAAGTGTGAAATAGTACTCAAACCAAATTCTTGTACACGATTTTCCCAGTATGAAACAGTTTCTTCGTATAAACGGCACTAAAATATTATTTACATTAAATAAATTATACATTCAAATGTGATTAGTGATTACTTGAATAGGAGCCATTGCACAGAATACTACAGATTCGTATTTAGAAGGTAGATATTTGTTGTTAACATCTTGAGTCCTCCTTAAAATAAATTTTTCAGTTACTTCATTAAGTTCTGAAGCTTTTTGTTTTCCCAGCGAAATTATTTGTGGATGGCATTCCGGTTGTTGAGATTCAACAATTTTATCTTCAAACTCACGTTTGAACATTGAATATGTTCCCAATATTCCAGGATTAACAAAGTCTATAAGTGCATAAAATTCAGCTAGCTCATTTTGAATTGGTGTACCAGTCAATAAAACTCTTCGTTTACATTCTATCTTTGTTAATGCTAAATATGTATTGGTACTATTATTTTTTAACCGATGGCCTTCATCACATACCATCAAATCAAAATGCAGTTTTTCAATTTCTTCAAAATAACGCACTAACATTTCATATGAAGTTATCATTACAGGATAGCTCCGAGCAGGTAATCTAGCAAACTCTGAGGGTTTTTTTTTCTATATATTTAAAAATAAAATAAAATCTATAATCAATCAAGTTTAAAAATATTTGAAAAACTTACTTGATCTACACAAAACAGCCTTAGTCTATCTCTTCCTAACCACCTAGTAAATTCATTTTCCCAATTTCCTACAAGACTACTAGGAGCAACTATCAATACTCTTTTGGCCAATGGAATACCTCCATATGGTCCTCGCTTCAGTAACATCCTACATTAAAATATGTAGAACAAATCAAAATTGTGGTCATATTAAAATAAATATTTACATACCAAACCAAACAAATAGTTTGTAATGTCTTGCCAAGACCCATTTCATCAGCCAAAATAGCACCAAAATATTCTTGGTCCTTAAATCCAGAAACGCATTCATACAAAAAAATTACGCCAGTTTTTTGATGAGGTCTTAGGTGTTTTGCCAAAAAAGGTTCAAGCACAACTGAAGTGATTTCTTCTTCTTTTTTGTTGAAGAAAGACTTTATATTTAATAAATAAATAATACAATGAACATACAATAATTATTTTATTTTAGCTAATTTACTTGATGATCAATATCAGGTTCAGGCATGATTAGTGCTTCAGGAGAACTAACATCTACTAATATCTTTGGTCGTTTACGGGGAGGTCCTGCACATGAAGTAACAGTTGATTTTTCAATCGCTGCAGTATCAAATTCTGTAACTAAATCTAATACTTGGACTTGCTTATTACCAACAACAATGATTGAACCATCTTCTAAATTTAAAGATTTTAAGTCACTGGTAGTACCTAATTTGTGACCATCTAAATCCTAAAATGATATAATTATATTAAATAAGAAAACCACAACAAAATTATGTGCATATTTAGTACTAATTATTACATGAAGTGCTGCAAATTTATCAGATACAATTAGGTATCCATCACCTTCCCATGTTTTGTGCTTCTTTTTTGTTTGTTTGCCCCAAGTAACGTTATATCTAAAACCAAAATGTTAATTAATATCTGTATAATATTTGACTATAGTCTATAAGGAATACTAACTTTTTATTTCCTAAAGTATTTGATGGTTGAATAACATTCTCTTTAACTTCCTGTTGGTCATCAATTTCTGATACATGTTTATTAGGCTTGATTATCGTTCTATGTCCTACAGACTTTTGAATTTTTTTAGGTATATTTTGAGGAAGTTGCAAAGGTGTATCACAATTCTTGATGGTATGACTAGCAGGTTGAACTGCCGCAGACACATTGTTTATTGTTGTACTATCATGTGTCTTAATCAGTGCAAGAATTTCAGACGGTGTTCTTATGACTTTCACTCCTTTTACTAAAATACAAATAGATTAAGATTATAAAAATTATAAGTTTGAGTAGGTATTTACTAAAACACAAAAAAAAATTGATTAATATAAATTTCCTATCCACATATAATATCCTAACCTATAGTTTATTATATTAAATTTGTATGTGGGTACTTATTATTCATATTTTCAAAACAATAAAAGTAGTAGGTATGTACACTGCAAACGTACCTAGACACTTAGCATTAAAAGAAAATTAATATAGTATGGACTAAATGTTATAGCGGAAATTTACATATATATTATATATTACATTATATTTTAATTGATATTGTGGCATTCTGCAGATACTCACGTGTACATAAAATGTTAATGACACATAGGTACTATAATTTCAATATATTTTTATTTTTAAAACTAGAACTAGGTACTACAAGAGAAATAAAATCACACTTAAATTAAATTAAACAGGCTAAATATTATACATTCATTATTCATATTATTATTATTCTGAAATGTGTTTAAAATATAGTCAATAGATTTAAAATTAATTTATCAACAGAAGTTTGAATAAATTATTAAAATACAAAAATTATAAGGCAATCATGGGCGGCATTAATAATAGATTTAAACCAAAACTCACTAATATCCTCTTTAGGAACAAGTGGAAACTGTTGAGATGGTGCACGACTTCTTCTCATGATAATTTAGAATAAATAGATTATTTGTATTTCTTTTATACAATGTCCGACATAGTAGTTATGATTTACAAAAGAAATAGTTAATAATTATAATTTAACGTATTAATTAACAACTTTGAATTCGTAAGTGTGGTAACAACAATATCCAGAATTTAAGTCCCTGGTTGTTTTAACTTATAGTCCAGTTGCAGTTATGCAGTTTCAAATTTCAATACCTTAAGAGTACGGTGGCGGAAAGATGAGTGAAGTGCTCGTGACTCGTGAGTCGTGAGACACTGAGACCGTTACCATTCTAATCATTTTTCGAACAAGTGCTTATCACTCATTTTATTCATAGATAATAGTATCTATTATCAAAGATTATATGAAAAAATCACACGAGCCTACAAATGCCATAGATCCGGTGGTAAATATTACTGTTGCGGAGCCACTGTTGTTCATGTATTTATTCGATATCTACGTCTGTGATAAGATAACATTCAAATAATTACCGCGTGAATTTAAATATTATAATTATTATTATTATTTATTAATACAAGTAAATAATTCAATTGAGTATTGTAATTTTTATATCCTAAATCTAAATTATTATACTTATAACAAAAAAAAAAAAAAAATTAAGAATGATAATTCTAACACGTCTTACAAAAAAAAAAATAATAATAATTTATTAAACTTTATCTAATACGTCCTACAAAATCCTACTTTTTTTTTACAGTTCATTATCCGAACAAAAAATCCTAAAATAAGAAATTTTAGTTTTCTTTATTTGCCTTGTTTTTTGGCACCTGTAATACAAAAAAAAATTAGTTGCACCAAATTGGAATTAAAATTCAATGTAGACCTACGTCAAAAATTCTCTTTTGTGGTTTCATTTTACCCCTTTCCAACTTATTTTTTTGTTTCAAAGGCACAGTTTCAATTTTTGAAGCAGCAATGGAAACATGGATGGGTGCAACCAGTTTTTTATTTAACTGTTGTAGTTGTTCTCGTGATGTTATCTGCTGTAACGATTGCTCAATTTCTTGTAATATATTCTGCCTTAATTTGTGTAATAAAACATCTGAAAAAATTTTTGAAAATATAAATTAAATAAACATTTTTCAATTAATTCTTATTACCATCATCATCATGGTGTGATTGATTTTCCTCGTCTATACTTGTTGTCTCCATCGGTTCATCATCTTTACATGTCACCTTTGTCTGTATACTACGTCTGTGTGTGCTTTTTGTTTTTGTTGTTTGTCTACATTTGCTGTCGGTTTTTTGGCTGAGGAGGTTCATTGCAACGGCGTGAATATGCTTGCACATATTATTTTTTATTGAATGGTCCTTGCAATTACACGTGTAATCGTGGAAACACGCATTACATTGTGTGCAAGGAAGTAAACAGATCTCACCTTCATACAATGTACGAATTACTATGATGATATGTATTTCAATGTTAGATATAAAGTGGACCAATACTCAACAATCTACTTACCTGCTACTCTTAAAAGTAAAATAGGATATCTGGTAAATAAGTAGATGTGAACATATATAACCACTGGTAATGATATTTTTCTATGTCACACTTACAAAATCATCTCGTTCTAAGAAGTGTTTTATTTTTATATGTCGTCTTAAGGTATCTTTCCGGAAAAATTTTTTATTACATTCATGACATTCCTATAAAATTATCAAAAGAAGAAATATTTTACACGCCATTTTCTACTTATAATTACTTACAAAAAAATCATTGACACGGAGAAAATTTGTCCCTTCTAAGGTACGTTTTGGATGAACGCTTTTCTTATGAATTTTCAACCCTTTAAAACTGGCAAAGTCTTTAAGGCAGAGATTGCATACCTATTCAATAATATGATGAAGAAATGAAGTTTATAATTTATTTATACTAGTATAGCCGCATAGGCAGTGGCGTCCGCAGGGGGGTGGCTAACGGGCCCCATGCCCATTGCCCGTATTATTATTACTTTTTCAAAAAAATATTAATCAAGTTAAACTGTCAACTATAGTAAGTAAGACATCAATTTCATATATGTCTTACCAGAATGAATTCATTTTTGAAAAATAACATTGTATTTGCATACCAATTTTCATAAATTATCTGTAATTTTTCGGTAAAAGTATGAACTAGGTACTTGTATAAAAGACCTTGTATTAAATTGTCTAGCCTTAGCTATACACATTTAATATTTTAAATATTTTGAACTACAAATTAACTGTGTTTTTGACGAAATTTGAACTTTAAATGCTTATAAAAAATAACCATGATGCCTATCATAATAATATTCATTTTTTTTTCTCCAATTATTTTTAACGAAATTATAGCTCTTAAATATATTTATTATTTTAAAGTCATAAAAATCTTTCAAATTCATTAACAACGTTCTTTCCAAAAACTGCATAACAAAATATATTTACCTTACAGTCTTTATAAGGTTTTTTCTTCTCAGTCCGAGAGATGTTTTTAATATGTGCAATTCGAATGTGCTGCGCTTGACTATATTTGTTATAAAATATCTTTGAACACTGAGAACATTTCTAAAATATTCAAAATATAAACATAAAATAAGTTACTGACATCAAAAAGTATATACAACAAATAGGTACTGCAGTATAAATTCTAATTAACTTACAAAAGAATCACTTTTGCACTTATGTAGAATTTCTATATGACGTATTAAAATGTCTTTGCGGTTGAACTTTCGATTACATTCATTGCATTCCTACAAATTTGAAACAAATAAATTTGTATCAAGAAAAAAATATATCAGAAGTTATAACTCTTGTCTCTTAAATACTTACGAATTTATTGTCAACGTCTTTATTTTTTTGGTGGTGAGTTGATTGATGTCGACTTAAATTATATTTTTTGGTAAAATTTGCATTACATTGTTTGCAAACAAAAGACATATTATACAAAATAATTAATACTATACGTATATAACTTAAGCTTTTAATAATTTTATGACAACTATACCCTAGCAATAAAATAAATACCTGCAGCATTAATGTTCAGATACTACAGAGTACAGACTACACTAATACAAATTGTGTAGGTCGATATATGATGGTAATAATAATAGCAAGACAGGTCTTGACCCATATTCGGAGAGACATTTGATTGTAATAAAGATCATTGATATTAAACTATTAAAGATACTTTTTTTTTTTTTTTTAGTTATAAGTATAATAATTTAGATTTAGGATATAAAAATTACAATACTCAATTGTATTATTTACTTGTATTAATAAATAATAATAATGATTATAATATTTAAATTCACGCGGTAATTATTTAAATGTTATCTTATCACCGACGTAGATATCGAATAAATACATGAACAACAGTGTGGCTCCGCAACAGTAATATTTACCACCGGATCTATGGCATTTGTAGGCTCGTAAAAATCACGGACAAAGGCTTTTGTTTATTTTATTTTTCCCGGCGCTTTTGAAAACTATTGGGAATATTTAATTTTGACCTCCCGAATGCACCAACTAGATTCACTTTCCCATCGAACAAGATACTGTTGAAGAAAATCGAAGCAGTGTTACTGCCCCAAACGGTAATCACAGACACAAAAATTTAAAAATTTAAAAAAAAAAAACAATTATTGTAAAACCAATACATCTAAAGGTTAATTTATAACAATACAAAAGGTGGGCAAGTGGTTGTCGCTCTGCTGTACAGAAGGTTACAAGTGGATCACTGTAATGGATTGTACTAAATTTGAATTCAATGATATAGTAAAATGGTACAAGAAAAACGATTCTGAGCGAAGACGGTCAGTTAGCCAATGAATAATGATATTAATTATTAATAAGTAGGTAGGTATATTAATTTATGATATATTTGTGAATAAAGTAATTTATACATAACCTATTTCCTTGGAAATTTGTTTTAAATTTTCAATCCTTAGCTATAAAATTTGAACATTTTATAAATTTTTAGCTACACAATAATTATTAAATTTTAAATTTGATTCATTTTGTCAAAATTCGAACTTTAAATGTTTATAAAAAAAAAATTGTGCCTATGTACTTTTAATATTTTTCAACTGCTATTGTGACAATATATCAGGAGCCTTGCATTAAATTTTCACGCTTTTTTACCCAACAAATAAAATATTGTATTGATATTTATAGGAAAAAAAAACTAAAAAAATTGAAAACCGAGTAACTGACAATGTCCGAAAAAAAAAACAGCTGTAAACAGCCCAAAAAGAGTCAAAATATTTTCAAAATGTTATGGTGCACCTATAGAAAATTAAAATATAAAAATTCAGTAAAATTTTCATGTATTTACAGTTATTCGTTTTTGAATAACAATAAAACAACAAAACCACTACATGAGAAATCTAGTGAATATCCAATATTGTAAAAATATGACTTTCAAACGCTCATAAAAGTTTAATTTGATTTTCCTGTAGACACTTTTTTTTTATAAAATTAGACAAATTTATGAGGAATCTTGTATTAAATTTTCAAATCTTAGCTTTAAAAAGGAAAATTTTTATACATTTCTAACACAAAATAATTTGCACAGTTTCATGATTTTTACGTATTTTAATATTTTTCAATTGATATTGTAACAATATATAAGAAGCAGTGCTCGGAAGTTATAGCAAATACATATTTTTCTTGGTTCATTCTAGAACATCCAAAGTAAGATACAAATATGTATCACAGTGCTCTGCTGTCATACACGAAATTTTATTTTGCCATTTTTTGCATATTTACGCTTTTTATTGATATTTTTCATTTTTGCTAATTTAGGGTTTTTCTCATGTAGCGATTTCTTTATTTTGTTGTAATTCAAAAACGAATAACTGTAGATACATGCAAATTTCACTGAATATTTATATTAGCATTTCCTATACACCATACAGCTTTTAAAATAGTTTGACTCTTTTTGAGCTGTTTATGGACATTTTAAGTTTTCAATTTTTTTTTAGTTTTCTTTCTATAAATATCAATAAGGTTTTATCTGTTGGGTCTAAAAATGTAAAAATTTAATACAAGGCTCCTGATAGATTGTTACAATAGCAGTTGAAAAATATTAAAAATACATAATCACAATTTTTTTTATAAGCATTTAAAGATCGAATTTTGACAAAATTTATCAAATTTAAAATTGAATAATTATTTTGTAGTTAAAAATTTATAAAATGTTCAAATTTTATATCTAAGGATTGAAAATTTAAAACAAGATTCCACGTAAGTAGTTTATTCTGCTACCAAAAAATTTAAAAAATACAGAAGGACAGTTTATTTGTAGAGTCATTTTAAGTTCAAATTTGGACGAAATTGCATAAAAAAAAAATCTAGAATAACTATTTTAGTTAGTAAGTTATGGATATTGTGATATGATTAATTTGGAATTTATTATAGGTCAATTTTTTTTAATACCAAATACCAATATACCATAGATAAGTATACAATATGTCTTATATCTAGAGTGACATACCGTCTCCGCTCAGAATCGTTTTTCTTATACAATGATATTAGGTATATATCATTGAATTCAAATTAAATACCATCCATTATACAGTGGCCCACTTGAAACCTACTGTACAGCAGAGCACCTTTTTTTTTTTTTTCCCGGCGCTTTTGAAAATAACTGGGAAATTTTTAACCTCCCATGCACCAACTAGATTCACTTTCCAAGAAAAAGATACTGAAGTTGAAAATTGAAGCATTATTTCGACTATACTTATCAATAGACAAAATTACAAAACAAAAATAAAAAAAACACACATCATTGTAAAATCAATAAATTCATCGTTCCGCTCAGAATCTAAAATTTTAACTGATTAATTATTCAACTTAAGTTAATAAGTTAAAAACAAAAATACTTAACTTTGACTTTTTAAGAAGGTTATGCTCAACCTTGATAGTTTGATAATATTATTATAATATTATAAATCCATAAACCTTATACTATAAAAAAATAGTTATACTCAGTATGTAATCATATATTTCTTTTTATGGCTTCATATTGTATTAAATATATAATAAATATGAATAAATATAAATATAAATAATAAATATATAATAATGAATAATATATTATATAGGCACTAGCGGATTTTCAAAATTTTTATTGGGGGGGGGGGGGGGTTCCTAAAAAATAATATGTATTTCTAATGTATTATTATTTTTATAAAATTAATAAATTAAATATAAATATCAGTGTCTGGGGGGTTTCCAGACCCCCTGGACCCCTCCCCCCGTAAATCCACCACTGTATATAGAAATAGGTACGAAACTACGATATTGTGTTTTTAAAAAATAATTATTGTGATATTGTGGAAGTGTATCTATATATACTTTGGTGTATTTTTAATTTTTATTACCAAAATTTGCTGATATTATTGATTTGTGGTATGATTTTAAATACCTAAGGCTTTTAGAACGGCCAATACATTTTTTTTATGCTAATGGGAGTAGCCAAGCGGGGACTTATGTTCAAAAATCAAAATATCATCTACTGTAAAAAAACTGTCTAGATTATTTAGATTTTAAAATTAAAAATAATATGTGACATTTACTTGGATACAAAAAACACACCATAATAGGTATAAGCCATAATTTATGTAGGTACAACTAATCGTTGAATCACTATTTATTAATTATTAATCACTAATTATTATATGCATTAAATGTTAATATATGAACATTATGTTATACATTAATGCTGATGGCAATTATCAACAAATCTTATTAATGATTTTATTATATATAATTATCAATTTTTTATTCCACTTTATACCTAAAATAAAGGTGTGCAGATGTTTTACACATTTTACTGATTTATTTATTAATTTTATTTGTTTAGATGTTATGGACATCGGCCCCATAACGTTCACGGTACATTTTTATTACCTAATTTCTACACAGAATTTCAGAAATAAATCAAATATTTTTATGTTACTGCAATTAACCCACCAATTATTACTCTATAAAAATATCTGACAAGTGTACCTATAGAATACTAAACATATATATTTCTTGTACGTACCATTCGCCATACTTATTGAATTTTAGACACAATATTATAATCAAAATTTACTATATCGGTATGAGCTACTCAAATTCATCAAATGATACAGTGTTACAACTAAGTGTGGGAAAATCGAACGGCGGTCAGAAAAAACAAACCAATCTTAAACGTTATATTATACGATGGGTAAGCATTGAATATTAAATAAATTTCCGGAATTTTAATTTTCGTACATATATTTCTTATACAAAAATGTGTTTAGGTAAATCACCTAGATTTTTAAACCAAATATTTAATTTTTATTTTCAGTATTAAAAAATACAATACATTTTTTATATTATACGTGTAACACAAGTGACTATAAATATTATAAATAAAAATTAAAAAATATTGTTTAGAATAAAAGTTATTTCATCTCTGGCAAGTCTTCCTGTTAGTCCTGTTAGCCCTCTATACACCAAACAGCAATTATTCTCAAGAATAGAATTTATAGGCAAATACAAAAACAAGTTAATAGTTGTTAATAATTAACATAGTTAAATGGTAAACGGTAATACAATTAATATAAGAGAACACAATTAAATGTTTGTAATGCTGTATTGATATTTGAAAATCTATTGAAAAATTGTTAATACATAATATTTGTATTTTTTTTTAAGCTCAAAGGATTAAGGACCTTAACAATTCAAAAGAAAGTCATTTACTTCTTGATCATTATGGTTAGTTGTTTTATTTTATACCCAAACTATCATAATCGAGTGCTACATGACAAGAACAAGGGCAATAAAGATTTGGATTTGGAAGAAATAATCAATCCAAATGACAAATTCCATGATTCTACACTAAAAAATATAATGAAACGAAAAGCTCATGCTGATAAAATAAAACAAATGAAAGAGAAATATGTATGAAAATACAAGTCTTCTTAAACTAGTTTACTGGCCTCCGAGACATATGCTACGTATCTATTATTTTACTATATTATTAATATATGTATACATGTATTTAATATTTTTAATACAAAGCAGGTAATATAAAATATTTATACAAACATACAACCTGTGCTTAGTGGTTTCCATAGGCGCAACTAAACCTCTAAAACGTGGGGTGCTATAATATTTTATATTTCAATATAATAACGGTACCTAGTTATACTTAAAAAAAACAAGGGGTGCTAAAGACCCTTTTGCACCCCCCTAGTTGGGCCAATGGTGGTTTCTACAGTAAGTATTTGGAATATGGGTGAGTTACATAATTGTATACTTAATGGAAAAAAACCAAACAAATTGTTTAAATATACATATATAATATAAATAAGTTTACTATGTTGATATTGTTGAGGAGAGAAACCACCCATTAATGGCACACACAATTGGATAAGTTTAGACAATTTTTCAGTCTGTTTGGTACCTATTAGTGGTTTTTCGTACCTAACTTTCTAAAATGTTTGATAAATTTTGATATAAATTATAACGTAGATTTTAGATATTCAATAATTAATACCTATGATAATAATTAATACCTATATACTTACCCAAGATTCAAGAATATATCATAAGTTATGACAATAAGAATATTCAATGTTTTATTTTAACACTAATTTAGTTTTTATTTATATGTATTATTGTATTCGTAACATAAACATCTATTCAATAAATAGAAAATAATATGTACAATTTAAACATAAACATAATTTATTCACGAAAATTATTAGAACAATAAGTTATGAGTGACATAATCTGAGGTAGATAACTGTTTAAATCATTATTGGAAATAAGCCAATAAGAAAGCAAAAATGGTTGTAGGAAAAAATATGTAGAATATTTATTTTAATTATTAGGTATTCTCCAGTAATTTATTGAATACAATAAAAATAAACAATATAATACACACATAATTATTGATAATAATATATATTATAATACAACTATTAGCTTAAATAGCCAAAATGGACTTAAATGTAAACCATTTATAACACAGGTTCTCAAACTTATTTCATCTACAGCTTACTTTGAGAATCAAACATTTTCTAAATCCCCCAACATTATAAAACAGTAGTTATTGCTTTTATGATATTTAAACATTCCATAATATCTTAATGTTTGAATTTTAGAAGGGGGATGCAAAAGTTTTAACAATAACCTGAATATTGAAATATCTCATTTACTTGGAAATAACTAGAAGGGGTAAACACAAATATTTTCTACAAAGAAAAGGTAAGCTTTCCCACTCCGCCATCCCTCAATTCAAGCACTGATATCCTATATATATTATGTGAGTTCAAACTTCCAAAAAACACCTAAAATAGAATACATTCTGAAATCAATGATATTTCTGACATGAGGGCTATGAAAGGTATAAAATTAATGATGTAGTAGATATTTTATTTTATTTTTATAAATTATCAGGAGTTTGAGAGTACCTACATAATATTGTTCACTTATTTTAATCAGGTATTGCCCCCGTGGATCACCTCAACGGCCCAAAAATAACTAAGTTATTTTATTAGTATCGTAAGTTTAAGATTATGACTGTAGTATTTGATTTATAATTGATTCATAATTGTTCATAACAATTTCAGTTACAAAGGTCCTTAATTGATATTTCCAAAGTGAACTTTGGCAATTTAATCAAATAAAGCTTAACAAACTATTAAATTTAAAATAAATGTGTAAGTTCAATAATTTAGAAATGTATAATAATATCCGTTATCTATAGTTGATTATTTACATTACCCACTGTGCCATTGCATCCAATCATAATTTAAACCTGTTGACCATAACAGATATTGTATATAAGTTAAACAGTTGTTTTAAAAATAAATAGTAAATTAAAAACTGTTTTATATTACACAATAGTATTATGTATTTCAAATTTCAATATATTGATACAAAATAATAATAATACTAATATTAAAAAATAAAAATAATAGAAGAGATTCTTGAATTTAATTGAATACAACCACTTACTTAAAAAATAGAAAATTATAATGATAAACTCTAAAAAAAATATACAGAACATAAAAGTGTATAAAGTTAAACATTATACAAAAATAAAAACCTTTTTATTTACACAATTTTAAGGTAAGCTTTATTTGGACACTCAACATATTATCACAATTCAGTCCAAATTGTTTACAAAATTGATTTATTATAGTATTAACACATTTCAAACCTTAATGTTCATAAAGCACTCACATAAATATTAAAATATTGTCTGAATAGTGAATACAAATATGTTATATACTATAGGTATTATATTATATTAAATAAAAAGAGCGCACAGAATACATATTATCATCAGAATAAACAGGGACATGGTACAATGTACCATAGGTTATAGATTGTTGCTCAATGGTTATAAATTATAATGTACTTTATGTAAACTCCACAAGCGGGAGAAAATTAAATTAAGTATTGATTTGTATCATTCTAACACTCTTTATATACACGGTGGACACAATGTTTTCCACACGAACAAACAGGAAGATATTGATATGATGATCCTTAAAGTATATTTATATATTATATAAAGTGAAAAAAAAAAAAATGGCACAATTGTTAATTTAGGTATATTGTACTTCTTAAGACGAGGAGTTTCTTCACAATAATAATGAATGACCAAAAGGACTGATGTAAGTAATATTAAATTATCGATAATTGTTGAAAATAATTATGGTTTTTCCTGTTGCAAATAACAAAAAAATAAATAATTATTCTTCAAAATGGAACTTTACCACAATATTACTAGTAGGTAGTTAATATAGTAGTTTGAAAAATTACAATTTTCAAAATATAATTTTCATTTTTTATATAATGGAATGTCTGTATTACATAGATTAATCAATAAGTTCCTTTAAAAATCACAGATTCAATAGAACTTTGAAATGTAAATAAGCAGTGGATTTTTAATTCAATAATAATTGTAATGTAATGTATAATAATTATAGTTACTCAATTATAACTAACAAAAATAACCTATAAGGGATGGAATAATGCTTCTTTACATTATTGAACATTCGCAGCATTGCATGGTAAAATATAAACACTCCATGCCACAACTAGTTTTATCAATATCGTCATCAACAGGGTGTTCCTTAACAATACCATTGGAAGGTTTGCCTCCAGCACCGCCAGATTTTCCATCACCGTTGCTCATGTTGACCGGTCCATCAGAATCGTCCTTGGCGATCATTGGTTGATGAAACTCAGCTAGTTCAATTACTGATTCCTCGCTGTCGCGTTTTGCAGAATCTGCACTATTCAGACTATCGACCGAAGAATTGTCACCGCCATTGGTCATCAATGTTTGATTTGTCACGCTTATGTTGGCCTTTCGGAACTGTACAAAAAAAATAACATATTACAATCATATTGTTAGGTATATCAAGCAAATTGAATCTTTCCAGTTCATCTTTGATTCGATCAGAGCAGAAGTTTAGTTAACTAATTATCTAATTTATGCACGTGAATGATATCGGTTAGTAAATAATTTTGGTGTTCTCAAGTAACAATTAAATTGTTTTTACCTAGGCAATATTGGTATACCTAATAGATAATGGTATATTATGGCTAATCGTTTTTTTTTAATCTAATATAAAAAAATTTTAAAATTGCTATTTTTACGGTAAGACAATTTGATTTATTAGTCTTTTTAGTGATATAACAATGACAACAAACAAAATACAAAAAAAAAAATGATCACACTGACCAGTTCGTTGTTTATCGGACCATTACTGGTGGTCGGGGCTTCCGTGATCACCTCGGACGACCCGTCCGTGTTTGCCTGAGTGCCTCGGTCCATGGTCTGCGGCCGGTTGTTGACGTTTTCCAAGAGCAAACGACCGGGCCGTGGATTTTGCCTGGAATGGAGCACAGACGCTATGAGTGGATCCGAAGGTGGCTGAACGTTATGATGGAGTTGAGACACAGCTGCGACGGCGGCGGCGGTGATGGCTGTATTCGCGGTGGTGGTGGACGACGACGACGACGACCTTTTCTCCGACTCGATCAACCTGTTGACGGAAAACCATTAGAACAGTTAAAGATAATCTCAGATAAGGTACCTATAGTCGGCTGCGCATAAATCGTACTTGAACGTCATAATATTATTGTTTTTATTATTATTGAGTTTCTGGTCGTGATCTTTCCACAGCAGATAGATCAACAGGTGCAAGCACACGAGCTGCAAATCGTACAACAACGGTACGTCAGCCATGGCAATAATTGGTGGGTATTATAACAAAATTACGTTCAATTACAATTTATAACAATGTGTTACCGGGGGTCTGTTACTACTACTGCCTACATACGAATAACTTTACGGCTGTGCGTTAAATAGAACTAAGCACTGAATCATATTTTAAAATGTTATGTGACGGTTTGCGCATGGTTTTCGTTTTCCCCTCCGAACCTCCGATAATTCTGCTGATATCTATAACAGTGTAAAGTATTATATTTTATTTTATTATGCCCGAGAAGGAACCGACTACCCGAGTACCGCCACCGAATCCCTACGCCACACGATCTCGGGTTACACAGATTGTGCATTACACTGGTCGAGTGTTGTTCTTCGATGAGAAACATTCACATGCAAAATTAAAGAAAACAGTTTGTCGATTAAGCGAATTATTATAACACGTGGAGAAATCGGGGAATCGTCAATCGACAGACGATTCCACAATTTATAGAATATATTATAATGACTGATATTATATTATTATTACGGCGATTAATGTTTATATTATACAATCTATACTATTGTGGTTGGGCCCATTAATAATATAATGAATACATTTGTTTCATTTTTCCCCCACCGCTGGCTCTTATATTATATAACAATAAAAATAATTCATATTAGGTATATTTTAAAATACTGAATCTTATCAGTCGACCTCCGGGCTCCGGCAGCTTAGTACACCGTCCTGTTGTACTGTGTAACTGTGCACGTAAACAGAGTGTTCAACAAGTCAACCCTGAACAGTGAAAAACTGAAAACTATCTAAAGTGTGTATTGCGCTCAATGTACGCACAAGACCTGTTCAATTCTTACTCAGGGTGCCTTCGAGAGGAAAACCCCACCACCCCTTCGAAAAATCTCTGTAGCTACAGACTTGTTTCTATTTTTAGTTTCCGTACATTGATACGACAAATTGTGAACATTATGATTTATGACTAGGATTACGATCTTATATGGGAATTATTAATTAATAGTAACAACGTATTTTGAAAATTTTACTATTTTCATTAATATTTCATATAAAAAAACATATTTTTATATTAATGTATAGTATATTTATAAAAATTATTAGATAGGTAACTAGGTTATAAATTTTTTGTTTAAAAAAATATGTAAAATGAATGTATTAAGTTATGATAATAGTATAAACTTTTTAATAATACATTAATACCATGGAATTTTGATTCCCTCGCAGATGCAGTAATTAAATCAAAAATAATCTAGTAGGTTATTATCTAGTAATAAACATTTTTGTTTTGTGTACACCTCTGCGATCTACGATTGATATGGTACCGTTAATATTTATATCATACAATTATTCAAAAATTATAATTATTTTAATTATATTTCAATAATATTGTACTTGTTTGAACAAATTTATAAAATATTATGTTTAGGTATTTGAGGTGACTGTGTTTTTTAAAATATATATTGGATATTGTTGATGCATAGTTCAATGTTTTTTTTTAGAAATTAAACCTTGTTATGACTAAATTAATAATATACAATATTTAAACAAACAAAATTTTCAATTATATACATAATAATATAATATACATAATTAAAAAAGCGGGCAAGTGGATGTGGCTCTGCTGTTCAGTAGGTTACATGTGGGTCATGTATAATGGATTCTATTAAGCTTGAATTCAATGATATAATATCATTGAATAAGAAAAACGATTCTGAGCGGAGACAGTTTGTTGGTCTGGATTTTTTACATCGTTATTATTTATTATAGCCAGTAAGTTGAATTAATATAATAATATTTTTTATTCATTTCTATGGTAATAAACAAAGCGTTAGAAATTAACATCCCATTTTTAGCGGTTTTTCGTAATTTGTCGGTAGTTTTTCCCGTGTCATTTAACTATTGAGAAATTCAAAAAATGACCTCTCTAAAGTAACACATCTTGATCCAATTTGCTAAAAGATAAGGTACTATATTATGTTAAAATCGAAGCACTCCTTAGAAATGTTGTATACAGGATAAAAAAATAAAAATAAAAATAAACACTATTCGCTCAGCTCAGAATCTAAAACCATGGAACTCGCTTTGCTGTATACTTTAGTACATTTTGAGTTTACCTATCTCGTCATTGAGTCTTTGCTCCTAAACATGACAAAACATTAGTTTTTGAACACTTAGGTTATGGGTACACAATACTAATACATTCATCGATACATATATGACACATATTCACTATTATCAGACTAAACGTACTTAGGAGTTTGTGTAGTCGTATTACCGCAGGCAATTTCGTGAAATTGCAATATTGAACGCAGCGCCGTCATAGCAATGGATAGGTATAATGTTCGAAAACACAAATTGAGATATTACCTATAACTTTGATTAGCAATTTAAAATATACGTTATGACATTATTTTATAATCATTGCTGGTTGCCAACGTATAGATTAATAAAATACAACTATATTACACCTGCATTTATCCCCATGACGATGTGTATAAGCTTTAGATAACATATTATTGTTAATATTATTAGATACCTACAACTGCATAATTATCGTTCGATTATCTAGTGTGTGGGTACCTGTTTACCCGAGTAAAGACGGGGTTTTCCACTATACGTGTTGGCGTAAATCCTTCACTGCGATCGGTTGGTTAGGTTGGTCTACTATATTAATGGACATGGCGGAACATTTTTCGTGCACACGGCACACGTGAAACCCGCCTTTAAATGACAGTTTCACGTTTAGACATTAGGCGGTATCACAACTATTGCTAATAATTCTGACACGTCAGAATGTCAGATGAAGTTTCTGTGATCCGCCTTTAGTAGTATTACAGTTATTTCGTATTGGTATACCAACCGGATTAGTCTGCACTATATGTTATTAGAGGATGTCAGCGTAGTATTTGTTATCTCTCTCTGACCCACGCTCAACATACCAAATTTTACGTTCACAAAAAATGATTGCACTAACATTAATTTCTCAAATTATAGTAAAATGACCTCTTATACAATTTAAAGGTGAGATTAATATCTAGGGTATCTAATAGACGTTTCATTTTATTTTAATTTTAAACCGAGTTAAGAGTATTTAAAGATGTACAAAGAATTTTAAATTTTAAAATACTTATAACTCACTTTAAAATTAAAATATAATAAGGCGCCTATGAGATGCCTTAGATAGTAATCTTACCTTTAAATTTTATAAGAGGTCGTTTTATTCTAATTTGAGAAATAAATATAATCATAAGCATTATTGTGAACGTACATTTTGCTATGTTGCGCGTGGGTCAGAGAGAGAAAACAAATAGTGCACTAACGTCCTATTAAGGAGTACTGTGTAGGCAATACATTTATATGAGTGCATAATATGTTGGAATGTGATAACTGCAGATAATATTATATAAAAGTAAATGAATATTAGAGTGACTTCATGAGAACGACCACGTGTAATTTACAGGCCTTGTAGAGGTTGTAGTCTTCGCATACAGAGGACCATACAAAAATTACAAATTTTATCAAACATAACATGATAAAAATATTTTATTTATATTTTAGCTATTAATAGAAATTTTAGACTTTTTTTGAGTCTTGTTCAAATGAGTGAGTTCAAATGATAGTTTCTCACTTAAAAAGCTCAACAAATTAGCTTAACAAATACCTCATAACTTTTTCTTACAGTGATTAAAAACTATCGAAAATACACACATAATATTTTTTTATAAGCGTTTGAAGTTAAAAGAACTTTAACAAAATTATAAACATTTTATATTTTTACTAAGGCTTGTAAATGTAATAGAATGTTTCTCATATAAGTTCTACTTCCTGGAAATAAAAATAATAACGTTAATTTTAACACATTAATTTTCATGAGCGGTTGAAAATAAAATGTTTTTGTTGTAAATTGGATATTTATACGAAAAAATAAAAATAACGGTTTTATCAAGCCTAACGATATTAGTTATTTTATTGTCATTCAAAATACCTATATAAGTCATAGAGACTTGAAACTACATTACGTGTACTAACTATATTAATAACATTTTCAAAATATTTAGACAACTTTCAACTTTCAAACTATTTATACCACTGATACCGTCTTATGGTATACGTCGATATTGAAGATTTAACTATAATTTACAAAATATTATATTCTATGCGATGTTTTCGTAAAAATTGGTTTATTCTGTATAGGTTATTCTTATTCCTAATAGAAAAAAATATTACCAATAGTAATATTAATAAATTATAAAATATCTTTAGAAATAGATGCTTAGTGCTTACATACCGTTTTTGCTTAGAATCGTTTTAAGTAGGTATCAAATGATTTATCATCGAATTCAAATTGAATACATCCTTTAGTCTTTGCAGTGATCTAATCAATGACGAAGTATGTAAATTCGAAACCTACAATAGAATAAATAGACTTCCCCGTTTTCTTTTTGAATGAACTGTGTACATTTAAACAAATCACATGCATAGATAGTTTGGATATGTATTATGTCTGTCTAAATGTCTAGTATATATAGTATATGAATCATTAGTCATAAATCATAATATATTATTTTAAATACCAATTAACTAGAACACAAAACAAATGAACTCACAACACTGATGTGGGAATAAGAATTTAACCCGAACGTACGTCCCGAATAATAATGGTAATTAAACTAAACGAAAATTTTCTACGATAACATATAAATTTCACTAGTTTTTAATACTTAATAATGAGTGGGTACTCTGAGTAGATCAATACATTATGGTAAAATACAGGACCGATGACCTCAACTTTAATAACGACAAGT